ATCATGTGCATTAACGGAATAAGAAAATAAACGTCCTTTTTTAAAAAAGTGTATTAATTTGTTAACTTTGATTTAAAAAAAATTATAAATAATTAAAATCCCCAAAATCGGCCTCGAAGGATGTCTTAAGAATTTATTCCCTTTTAATTTAAGACAAAGAACACTCAAATCGGTTAAAAATTGTAAGCTATAGACATTTTTTAATAGGAAATTGTAAAAAAATTCCACTGTGGGCCGGTGCAGTGCAGATGTAAATGCTTAATTTGACCAGTTAAAAGTTCTTGTCCCACATTTTGACCTATACATTTTTTTAGGAAAAAACCTCACCTTTATGATAAAATTTTTTTTAAAAAAATAAAAACTGCCCATTTGATAAAAAAATGAAATTTTATTTTTTAATTTAATTTTTCAAGGTCAAACAATTTTTTTTCTCTACATTTGTTCACACTATTAGAAAGTGTTGAAAAACAGCAGCAAAACCCAAAATAGAAAACGTATTTTCGTTTTGTTTTAAAGAAACTACAAATTTTTCAAATATTCCATGTAAATTTTTGACCTGGGTCACTTGACGTGGAAAACATATATATGTTTAAAATGATATAAAATATGTTGAAAAATGTAAAAATTATCAAAAAATGTAATTGACGTCGTTAAAAAAAAGCGCTAAACTAACAATTTTCGTCTCTTCATAAGATATGTCTATATAGGGCTAGGATACAGAATCAACAAAAAAATTTGAGGTAATATCATTTTTCATTTAATTCTGACTAGACGCACCGTGGACCCTGCTGATGTCTGACTGGTATAGTCCCTTTCGACCATGCGTTGCAGGCAATTATCCGTTCCACGCCCTCAATTTTATACCAAAAAAGTCGTATTTAGTTGGAATATTTAAGAGAAAATTCTAAAATGTCGACCCTTTTTGAAAATAAGTCGAAGAAATTTACTTTTTTTTAAAAAAAATAGTAGAAAAAAGTCTGAAGCTTGTCTTAGTTAAAAATTTTTTTTACGAAATGAGAAAAGTAAAAATTGCGTTTAAATTGATTGTACAGTGAAATAAAATAAACCGAATGAAAGAAGTAAAAAGAATTTAAAAAAAGGGGGAAGAATGTATAAAAGGAGTAAATCCAGCCCTTAGATATAAAACCAGCCCTCAGGGTATATGAATAAGTTCTCTCAACTCTTCTGTTATTTTTCCAAGTATTCTTCACTCGAGTGGTATTCTTATAATTCTAAAAACTTACATTTCCCTGCTATTTGTGTGAATTTTTATTAATCAGATTAATTAGCTTCCGCTCAGTTTCTGACCTGCGATAAATAATTTTATACTACTGAAAGCACCACTGAAACACTATCAGGGTGTCTACTATTTTCGTTTAACAAAATTCCCGGTTATTTCCCGGTTTTTCCCGGCTATATCCTAATTTTTTCCCGGTTTTTTTTCTTATCAAATTTAAATTTAAATTTGATTTCAAACATAAATAAATCATTAAATTTTTTGAAAATAATGTTTTTTTCAGTAATTTTAATTAAAAACTTGGAAAATACTTGAATTAAACAAAGAATTTTTTCAAGTTTTTAAAAATAATCTTGTCTCTTTATAATTATAATTGAAAATTGGATTTTTCAATTTTATTAAAATTACATTGATAATAATTGAACTTCTGCAAAGAATTTTACTATTTATAAAAATATTTGAATCCTTCCAAAGAATGCTATTATTTATGAAAATAATTTAATTCTTGTGAAGAATTTTATTAAAATTTTTGAAAATAATAAGCAGCAATAATTAATTCTTTACTTAATATGTAATAAACATTTAATTTGCTCAAGAAATAAATAAATATCATTTATTTGAACATTCAGAAATTTGAAATGATAAAAATTTAAGAGAAGTTTAATAATTATAATTATTAAAAATTAATAGAATAGTATAATTTTTAGAAGCAAAAAATTGATTTAAAACTGTAAGAGGGACTTTAAATTTTAAAAATAAAATTATAATTATGGTCACTAACTTCCCTTGATTATTTTCGAAAAATTTAAATAAAATTCTTTAAAAGAATTCAATTATTTTTCAAAAAAAGTAAAAAAATTTCAATGATTTGTTTAGAAAAATTCAATTATCTTGAAACAATAGAATTGAAAAATTACAACAATTTTATTTTTTAGACTTAAAAAAAATTTTGCGAAAGTTTAATTTTATTAAACAATTTTAAGTATGTATATTTTTTTAAAATAACTAATAAAAATTTTAATTATTAATCTTCGGAGTAAGAAACATGAATACATTAGAATTTTACTCTTTATAATATTCAATTATTAATCAATTATTAAATTAAAATACTTTGAAAATTCTATTTGTTAAAAAGTTTCTAATGAATTTCTTTAACAAATTTAATTACATATTTTCAGTCGAATTTCACAATATTTCTATTAACTCCATAATTTTTTTTAAATTTATTTACATAATATATTTGAATTGGTAACTGATTTTTTATCATCAAATTAATTATTTTTAACTAACTTAAATTTAGAGAACAGTATAAATATCTATAAAAATTGAAATAAAAATTGATTTTTTAAAAACAAATTAAAATAATAAAACTTTTTTAATTTTTGTGAAAAAATTCCCGGTTCGGTATAAAATTCCCGGCTAATTCCCGGTTTTTCCCGGTCAAATAAAATTCCCGGTTATTTCCCGGTTTTCCCGGAATTCCCGGTTAGTAGACACCCTGCACTATACAAATTGAAATGCGACATATTTCAATGACTGATCGAAAATAGTTTTTATTATTTACGTTAAACCGAGGGGTGAACAACTCTCATTCAGGGCGTACGAAGAATATATTCCCAACAAGGAATACTTGAGAATACTGAGAATATTTGGGAATATGGAATACTTAGAATAGTTAGACAAATGTAAGAATATGTTTGAATATACGTGAATATCATGGAGAATATTGAAGAATATGTTTGACTATAAAGGAATATGCCGAGGAATATATGAATATGTTTGAAAAGAAGGGAATATGTTCGAAAATATAAGATTATTATATATATTTAATAATATTTAGAAAAATTATAGAATATTAGTCAATGTTTCTTGAAAAAAAATATTAAGAAAAAGCGGAATTTATTTAAAATACTCTTTCATGTAAAACCGGGGTAAAATCTTATAAACTTTGAAAATATGCTTTGCGTCTGATTTTTATTTTATCTTTAAAATTTATTCTTTTAATTACATTTTTGAGTGTCATACCTCTCACAAAATTATTAAAAATAAGTCTTAGAACTGATGTTTTCGTAAACTGTCAATCCTTTGACGTATTTGCAGTCATATAAAGTTAGTACCTTACCCAGGGTGGTCACAAGTTTCAGTTTATCAATTTCCCTGACAATTTACTGACATTAAAATTATTTTCTATTATAAAATATTTTTACAGGAAAATATGAAACTTTACGGAAAACGAGTATTTATGAATGTTAATAATTTATAAAAACTACAATTATAACCTTACCTGAATTCAATTATTTTCTATAATTTTCAACTAAACTTCATATCTGAATCAATTATTTTAAATAATTTTCCGATAGTTCGTCTAGAATAATTCAATTATTTAAATACAAAACTCAATTTCTTATAACTGTCCATGTTTTTTCTTTAGTTATAAAGGTATAATATTTTTAAAAAACTAATAAAGAAATACTTACAATTAATTTTTTTAATATTTTAAAATAATTTTCGAAAGAAAATAGTTTTCTTATTTATATGCAATTGAAAAATTTCCAAACAATTGAAATGTGGTAAAATCTTTTAAAGATAATTGCATTTCTTAAAAGAATTTTTGTTTAATTTAAAGAAAACTAATTAATTTTTTGATGAATTTAAATTAAAAATTTTTAACATAATTTTTTTCTCCAAAATGTTAAAAGTAATTCTAAAAAGTTATTATTTTTGTATGTATTTGAATTTTTGGAATGTGTATTTAAAAATACTAAAAATATTGAATTTAAAAAAATTTTTAAATTAGAAGCTAAATTTGTTTTTAAATTTATATTTAAAGATTTTTCATTAACTCTTTTGATAATTATATTATTTTCAAAAGTCGATTTTCGAAAATTGTAATAGAATATTTGAAGAAAATTAGTTAATTTCAATTAAATTTTACAAAATTTTAATTATTCAAAAATTTTTTAATTGTATATTTCGAAAATTTAAATAGAAAAATGATTCAAAAATAATTTTTGAAAGATTTGTTTATAGTTATTTTTCGCACTTTAAAAATCGAAATGAGTTTTTTGTTGCAATATTTGGAAGAAAAGTTTTTAAGTTTTTGAAAGTATTTCGAAAAGAATATCATTTTTCTTCATTTCCACGACTAAAAATTTTTTTCCTGTCATTTCTCTGACTTTACTGACATGCGGTCTCCCTGCGTTAACAAATAAAATAAAGGCTTTATTTATTGATGAAAACGCACACCAATCGTCCTCATGTATTGCATTTTTCCTTACAATAATTGACTCTGTTTTTTAACTCGAGTATCGAAGCAGCAGAGAATTTTGAATTTCCTGAGACTTTACGCGTATAAATTTAAAATGACAAATGTAAAAATATGTTACAGTTTTCTTGAAACTGTTGTTATTGCTCGTTAATATTATAGAATATGTCAAAATATTGGAGATTACTTAGGAATATATGGGAATATATAGGGAATATTTAAGAATATAAGTGAAAACTGAGAATATTAAAGAATATCAGTGAATACTGAGAATATTGAATATTTATGCTGAAAAACATGAGAATACCCATAGAATACATGTGAATATCTAGCGAGTGTACGAGGAATATCGAAGTTGTTCACCCCTAGCGTTAAACTAAATTTCAAATTATTTTCACTTTCTTAAGTTAGATTTCATATCATTAGAAAATAATTAAATTAATTAATAAAAAAAATGTACATATAGATTACTCTTTTATCAAATACAAAAAAACTTACCAAACCTGAATTTGATGAAGTAATGAAAATAATTATATTCTCTTTTCGTATCAGCAACAATCACTTGATCCGCCTTTTTCGTCTCCTTTAGTGTGAAGAATTTTTCATAAATTTTGTATTCCAATTTTATAAACTTAAAATAAAATAAATGAAAATTAATTTTTGCGCTTTTACATAAAAAATAATATTATGAATTTTTACACCGGAATGTTGACAGGATATTTTTTCTGACGTTCCACTTTTTCATTTTTTTGGTTTTCCGCTACGGAAATAAATACGAAGGTTATTTTTAGATACACAAAACAAAGATTATATTAATTAATATCAAGTTATCGTCCTCTTTTATAGTAGATAGAAATTAAATAAATTAAAATAAGCAATGAAACTTATAAATTCAATAGACTGGTAATAAAAATTAAGCAAAATATATTAACTTTTTAATTCAATATTGCAAAAATAAACAAATTAATTAAAATGCTGTACCATTTGGAAACAATTAGGTAATTAGATTTTTATTCAATTATAGACTCAACAAGTAGAATGAAAGTGACATGTGTAACATGTGCTGTCAAAATTTTGAGGTTATGTTACGATGTATACCATGTATACGCGGTGGACATACGCAAAAAAAGTTTGTTAGCATTTGTTACAATTGTTGATTAAAGTTTCTATTTATATACAACGTTTATAAATTTATCTTATAACGATAAAATAAATTAAAATCATTTTCATTATCACTTTTAATTTCATTTTAAGCTTAATTCAAAATATTGTCCAACACAAAAGTAGGTGGAACTACCTGTGAATGGAACTTTATCTTCAGTAAATTTTAAAAATAAGCAAATTTTTATAGTTTGATATTTATAACTATAGTATAAAAAATTTAAAACTTTCTACTTATTTTTTAGTTTCCAAAAACTATTTTTTTTAAACTTTTAACGTCTACATGTCATCGATTGCATTTTAAACTCCGATTTGCGCATAACTTCATTCAAAAATATAGTGATATTTAAATAATCATAGAGAAAATAATTAAAGACTGTTTTACCAAAAAATAAAAACAACTTTGAATTATTAATTAAAGTATTAATGATTTAAAAATATTTAAAACAACTTAAAGCATCATTCAGAAGAATATAATAAAAAAAGACTTTTTTATCAAAAATGCAAAACAATTTATTTCCTTTGATTTGTTAATTAAAGTATTAATAATTTTAAATAATTGAATGATTTAAAGTATCATTCAGAAGAAAATAATAAAAAAGCCTTTTTTTCATAAAAATGCAAAAAACTTTATTTATACCTTGATTTAATAATTAATGCATTAAAAATATTTGAATTTTGTGCAAAAAATGGAATTTATTAAATAAATTTAGTACACACATAATGCACAATGTGTTTTTAATAATGTTCGAAGAATAGACACAAATCATCTAAAAACACACGTTTTTTTCAAGACGTAAGAAAAATTTATTTCGAAGCATAAAAAGCTGTGGTTAAAATTGGTGCCTAAATATATAATAATACATATTTTTTTCTTTATAAATTGATTATACGCAGACGCAGTGTGTACACTGTTCAACAAACCCCTATTATGTAGTCTCAAATATCTTTACAGGATTTTATATAATATATATATTTATATGACATTGTGCTAAATGATTTGCATTTTCATCGCTAAATCTACTCAATATTTGACTTTTACATATAAATAATCATATATGCACTCATTCTAAACACGCCTCTGCGAACAATTAAATATTTCTTATATAATTTTTTTCTTTAACACGTTTGCCTTCTTGATCACTTGTTTTTTTTGTTTTTTTATTTGATCTAAATGTTATTATTTCCTTCAAAAATTAATCCACTATATATAATCTAACGCGCATTATTTTCTAATAATAATTAAACAAATCATAAGTTTAACGTCATATTTTTTAACATATTACAAATTGATAATAATTATTTTAATATTGATGTGGTATCATATACACTTCCTCTTTTTTTTTAAATTAATGCATAGAGGGATTCTCTGTCACTTTTATTATTTTGAAAAAAGAAACTTGTCATTTAATTCCCTAAAAAATGGGCATATCAAAGCACTCTGGGTGGTTTATTAATCACTTTGGCCAGTCAGCTTCATTATACACTGTCGTCTGGAAAAAAAGTTTACGCTAATTTATTTTATTATTCAAATTTACAATTAAGAATTAGTCAAATTTATGATTAAAGCTTAGAGTTTAATTTTTTGTGAAGAAATTGTAGAAGCAAATTACATTTTTCAATTCAAATCTTACAGAAAATTTTCTTTTTCTATTTTACAATGAATAAAAAAATATATAAATGATTAATAAAAAATAAATAAACGGTTAGTAGTTAATAATAATAAATGATAAAAATATTAAATAGTATGTAATAACTATAAATGTTCAATTATCATTTTCGCTTAAAGTTTAATTTGTTCTTCTAGGAACAAGCAAATTCAGGGATGCCAACAAAATTTAATTTTTTTTCCTGACTTTTCCCTGATTTCTAAACAAAATTTTGACTTTTTCCCTGACCCTAAAGAATATTCTGGTTCACTCTAAAAATTGATTAGATACTCAAAAAAATGTTTTATTACATTACCTTTTGAAAATTTAAAAAGAATATGAATTAAAATTTTTCAAAAAAATTAATTCAACAGAATTGTTATTTAAAAGTATGAAAAATTCAGATTCTCAAAGATTTTAATTTGAAACCTTTTCAAAATTGAATTATTTCTAAAAATCCAGGCTATAATGATTTTAATATTCAATTATCTAAAATTTTAACTAAAATTCATTTTTAAATCAATTTTTATTAGAAAATTCTACGAGAATTCAATATTATTTTAAAACAAAAATAAATAATTTATTGAATAAAATTGAATTCTCTCGACGAATTTTAATAAAGACTTTAAGAATAACATTTTTAAAGAAATTCGATAAATATTGTATTAAAAATAATTTAAATTCTGCTATGAGTTTTATTATTTATGAATATAATTGATATTCTAAAAATAATTTTATTATTTATGAAAACAATTGAATCCCTCTAAAAAAATGTATTATTTATGAAAATAATGGAATTATTGCTGAGAAATTTGTAAATAATTGAATTCCTGTGAAAATTTTATTAAAATAGTTGATATTGAAATAATTGAAGTTTTAATAACAATGTTATTAAAATTTTTGAAAATAATTGCATTTTAGAGAATAATTTTATTATTTATAAAGATAATGCAAATTTTGACGAGACTTTTTAAAAATTTTTCAACATACCTAATTGATTTCTGAAGAATTTAATTACTTTTGAAATAATTTTTCTGCAATAATTTGTAACTTCTCCAAATTTTCATTTTTTTAGTGTTTTTAACTAAAATTCTTCTATAAATACATTGTTTTTAATATTTATTTTAAAATATATTAAAAAATTTAACTGATTTCAGAAGAATTTAAATTATTAAAATTTTTCAAATATCTAAGTTCTTTAAAATGTCTAATTAAATTCATTCAAAATTGAAATTTTATGAAATTTCAAATTAAAACCTTTTGAAGTTCATCTATTTGTAAATGTTATAAACGCAACTCTTTTAAAACTCAATTAATTTTGAAATGTGTAAGTAAAGTTATTCATTAAATAATTTATAAGTTAAAATTTTTTTATAGTTTATGAGGCAAAAAAAGACACCAAAATTGAGAGTTTTCTTGTGAATTCTAAAAATTTAATTTTTCCAAGACTTTTAATAAAAATTCCTGACTTTTCCCTGGTTTCCCTAACCAACTCTAGTTCACCTGACTTTTTTCCGCTTTTCCTGACCTGTGGCAAACTTGAAATCTTACAAAAAATTTTCTTTTTCGTTTTTACAACATTTGAACGATAAATAAAAAATAAATATATGATTTAACAAAAAAATAAGTAAATGTTTAATAGTTAATAATAATAAATTATTAAAATACTAAATAGAATTAACTATAAATGGTCAATTAACATTTTCGCTTAAAGTTTAATATTTTTTGCAGAAAATTTTCTTTTTCTATTTTAAACGAATAAAAAAATAAATAAATGGTTAATAATTGATAATAATATATTATTAAAACACTAAATGGTAATAACTATAAATAGTAAATTTAAAAAAGTGATGCTTACCATGATACCACCATTTCGTCTTCTTTGGATTTTTGTTACAAGTTTTGACATAAAACGAATTGTCCGGTGGTCTTGTCTGAAATAAGTTAAGTTTGTTTGAAAATTCGAGAAAAATAATTTTATTCACAATTAAGTAATAAGTACATATGTAATAGACTTTTTACTTAATTTTACAGAAATACCAAATTTGCAATTATTTTTACCTTTTCTTTGCAACTACTCAACATTGATATAATACTCAAACACACACTTTGCACACTAAGAGCTGGTGACCAATCGTCCGTTAGAATTGAGAGGCAAATGTGGCCATTACTGTAAATATGAGGATGAACAGGAATATTCCCACCAATAAATGTCACCTCAGGAGAATCAAAAGGATATTTCGGACTAAATTTAAATTGCAATTGAAAATGTTCCCCTTCGTATAAAGTTCCTTTTGCACCCTCCATATTTACAACCCATTGATTTAAATTTTCATCCACATTATCACCATCCACATACATTCCAGGTGGTGGCTCACGAATCAAAGACATCAACTCCTTTTGCAGACGTCTCTGAAAAATACACTTAATTTAAAATTTAATTAACTTTAACACAATTATAGAAAGTCTAAATTCAAACAAACGAAAAGAAATGATTATTCTTTCAATTTGTCACTAAATTATATTTAGAAACAACAAAATAATTTTTATGTATTAATTTAGAAAAATAAAAAAAAAATTATTTTCTTTGTCTTCAAATTTAATATCATGCGAAAATTTACAATGGACATATATATTCATCTTGGAATTTAAAAAAAGTGTTTATCAATGAAAGATAATCAAAGAAAGAAAATAAAAATAGATGACGACAAATTATATATAATTATTATTGAATACAAAGTGACAGTTCATGATTAGAAGTTTATCAATGTCAAATAAATTCACTTTCTCATAATCTTTCAATTTTCATTTAAAATGAAAACACAATAATTTCAATAGAAAATATTTTAAATAATCTATAATCAAAAAATTATTACCAGATATATTTTTGTCATATTTTCAACACAAAGAGATGGATGAGACGTTATTAAAAACTTTTTTAATACAAAAACATTACAAGTGCGACACGAGAGTGTGGTGAAATTATTTTACTTTATTCTTACAGTAATATAACTATTGATTGATATAATTCAATTAGAAAATTAAGTATTGCAAAGCTTGTAAACTTATGTAATCTAATTGAAACCAATATTTGTCTGGATTGGACAATTTTACAAGACCAAATTTGGTGAATATTTAAAACTAAAAAAATTAAAAAATAATTACAATTTTTATACTCAATTATTAACAAAATTATAATTTCAAGTAATTTTTCAATATTATCCAAAATTAGAAATAGATTTCTAAACATTAAGTTTATTCTTAGTTTTTTTCATAAAATAATAAATTATATTGAATAAATCATGTTTTTTATGATAAATCAATTTTTCCTACCTTTTTTAAAATTGTCAATCAATAAATTTTTTAAATGTAATTATTTTTTCTAAGGCTAAAATTTTAATCAATTCCTGTATTATAGATTCATTATTTTAATAATTTTAATGTTATGAAAATTCTTTGAAACTCACCTTTGACGGGGAAAAGTCCTCCATTGTTGTTAAACCACTATCCTTTGAAAAACATAACCATTCTTCATTATGGGATATGACAACTGTTGTTTTACACAAAATACAACGCTTAATTCTATTCAATCGACAATCCTTGTAATCTATTATACATTTTAAATGATTTTATAATCATTCACGCTAATTTAAAATAGAAGAATTTGTTTTTTTTCATCAAAAAAAAAATTTGTCACTCCCGTAAACTTTGACAATTGTGCTAAAAAATATTCTCACTCAAATATTTTCAATTTCAATGTTCAGCGTTGGCACTTATACTTGCGTTACGCTGTGTATATACGGCCATGACCTGTTGACTAGTGAATACGGCTTAAGCCTGTGAACAGAGTAAGGCTGCGGTTACACCTCTGCAGGCAGCCTGCCTGCCTGCAGGTTGTCATGGTAACGTACAAGAGTAAGAGAGTCAGTGACTTCAAACTTCTCCCTTACTCTCGTTGCTCCTGCCTGCGCAGGCAGGCAGCCTGCAGAGGTGTAACCGCAGCCTAAGGGTACAGTCACACGATCAATGCATCTGCATGATGCATGCATGCACAAACATTTGACTGTTCACACCTCAATTTTTCGCTCTCGAAAAATCATTTTTCTGGCGGGATATTTAAAATTGATTAAAATTTAAAAATAACGTATTACTAATTTTTACAATAAAAAATAAAAAAAATTGAACGTTTATTATAAGGAATTAATTGTAAATAAATTTCTCTTAATTTGTGGCATATTTTAATATTGTGAATTTTTATAATTTAAAATATGCCACTAATTAAAAGAAATTTATTTACAATTAATTCCTTATAATAAACGTTCAATTTTTTTATTTTTTATTGTAATAATTATAGTAATACGTTATTTTTAAATTTTAATCAATTTTAAATATCCCGCCAGAAAAATGATTTTTCGAGAGCGAAAAATTGAGGTGTGAACAGTCAAATGTTTGTGCATGCATGCATCACGCAGATGCATTGATCGTGTGACTGTACCCTAAGGGTGGAGTCCCATGACAGCGTTTTGCGTTACGTCGTAATGGGAGAGAAAAAGACGCAAATATACGTTTGCTGTATTCTCTCTTATTACAACGCAAAGCAAAACGCTGCCATGGGACTGCGGCCTAAGGGTACGGTCCCATGATAAGCAGAAAACAGAATGCAAAGCAGAATTTCGTGAGTGCAAGAGAGATAGTCAGATATCACTATCCTTTCCACTCTCACGAAATTCTGCTTTGCATTCTGTTTTCTGCTCAGCATTCTGTTTCCTGCTCAGCATGGGACTGCACCCTAAAGTTTGGCGGAATCGCCAGACTGAATATAATTTTTTCTAGCGAGACTAGCACCGGTAAGTTCTCAAATGCGCCACTGGACAAATGCGCCACCGGTCAAATGCGCCACGGATCAATTGCGCCACTGGACAAAGGCCCCACATTTGTCATATTTGAGGAAAGTGAAAAGTTTGTTCGAGAGATGGAGCTAGGTGTTCTTGGTATAGAAATTTGTCAAGTGAATTCAATTTCTTGCCAATTTCGCTCCGTATAGTGAAAATAAATTTAAGTGAAGTGTTAATTAACTGGTAATTAATTAAATGTTCTATATCAATTGCGGATAACATTTTTGAGGTAAGTTGCTGTTTTTATTTTATATTAATAATAATAATAATAAATATTATTATTATTATTGTTTAAAGAAATGTGGAAATTTTTTTTAATAACTAATTTATGAAACATTTTATTTTTAAATCGTTTTTATTTATATTTTTTCTTTGGAATAATTTAATAATTCCTTTAATAATAAGATTTTTTGATATTTTCAAAAGCTCTTTATTTTTATAGAATTAGTTTGTATTTTAATTAAATAACGAGATTAAGAATTCTTTATTGTATTATACTTAATTTTACTTTCATAATTATAAATTAATTGCATTTATTTTAAACTTAGAAAGTACTTAAGTTTTCTTGAAGACAAATAAAATATAATTTATTAACAATTGTAATATTGAATATAATTCTATTTTCTAATTTGAATTTCATTTAATTAATTTTTTAAATTAGCTAACGTAAAAGTTTTTCTGAATTCACGTTCATACTTTTAGAAATGATAAGACTTCTTATAAAGTTTCAAATATTACGGAAGTTTAGAAAAATTATTCCAATTTTTATTTTATAATTAATGGTATATTTATATTAAAAACAGTAATATTTTAAAAAATAATTTTTTTTTTTGGAAACGTAATATATAAAAAAAAGCAGGCTTCGCACTCATCTACTAAAATCTATACTATTTACTCCTTTTTTTGTCAAATTTCTGACACTAAAAGATACATTTTCACAAATTACATTAGTTTAAATCCTCTAATGATTGAAAAAAAATTATTCTCAATCAATTTTTTGTGATTCGATTAAAACGAGATTTTTTTAATCGTCAAATTTTAATTTTTCGATTGCTACTTTTTACTACTATTTTCAGATTTAAAGCTACTTTCTCTGCTACTTTTTTAAAAGTAATTGTCGAGTGCGAAGCCTGAAAGAGTAATAATTTATTAATTATTTGACAATGGTATTGAATTCTATAAATATTTCATTATTTTAACCTCTTAAAATATGTGACTTCTTTTTTTTAGATTCTGATCAAAGTGAAGCTCTGATGATTAAAATCGAGCCTTAAGATGTAGTGACGATAAAAAAAAGTTATAAATAATTAGGCATCACAGACCGTTATAATTTTAAAAATTATATTAAAGCCAAATAATATAATTAAAAGTTTTAAAAAATATGTTAAAATTGAATCTCAATTTTTCGACCATATTTTGTAACTTTATTCGTCAATTAAATTTTTTTAAATAAAATCCTTATTTACCCCTCTATTATTGCTAAATTAATATCTATCCTATCTCTCAAAAATATTAAACAAAAACAATTACAAATTGCATTATTCTATAGAAAAATTATATTAATAACTATAGAAAAATTATAAAGTGAGTATAAAAATTGTAATATAATTAAGAATATAAATTTATTGGCAAAAAAATTATTTTATTGCCAAAATGCAGACGACAATCGACTCGAGCTCCAGGAAAAAAATAAAATTGCAAACGAATATAAATAAGATCTTCTCTTGTTTTGTTGAAAACTTCACGCTTCCAAGCGGATTTTTAAGATTAAAAGTCGATTTTCGGCTGCATTTTGGCAGAAAATTTTACACAATTTCTATATAATATTGGAGTTTACTGATTTGTCTTTTTTTAAATTAATCCTTGGAGTTTTGCGCATCAATACATGGTAATTTAATATTAAAAAAACATTGCGAACATTCTTCAATTTCCAATTGTTTAAAAGAATTTTCAATAACAATTATAATTATAATTTAGTGTCAGAAATTTGACAAAAAAAAGGAGTAAATAGTATAGATTTTAGTAGATGAGTAAGAAGCCTGCTTTTTTTATATATTACGTTTCCAAAAAAAAAATTATTTTTTAAAATATTACTGTTTTTAATATAAATACCATTAATTATAAAATAAAAATTGGAATAATTTTTCTAAACTTCCGTAATATTTGAAACTTTATAAGAAGTCTTATCATTTCTAAAAGTATGAACGTGAATTCAGAAAAACTTTTACGTTAGCTAATTTAAAAAATTAATTAAATGAAATTCAAATTAGAAAATAGAATTATATTCAATATTACAATTGTTAATAAATTATATTTTATTTGTCTTCAAGAAAACTTAAGTACTTTCTAAGTTTAAAATAAATGCAATTAATTTATAATTATGAAAGTAAAATTAAGTATAATACAATAAAGAATTCTTAATCTCGTTATTTAATTAAAATACAAACTAATTCTATAAAAATAAAGAGCTTTTGAAAATATCAAAAAATCTTATTATTAAAGGAATTATTAAATTATTCCAAAGAAAAAATATAAATAAAAACGATTTAAAAATAAAATGTTTCATAAATTAGTTATTAAAAAAAATTTCCACATTTCTTTAAACAATAATAATAATATTTATTATTATTATTATTATTATTAATATAAAATAAAAACAGCAACTTACCTCAAAAATGCTATCCGTAATTGATAGAGTAGAACGGGGTGAAATAGCCATGGTGCAAAAAAGCCATTTGACTTTAATTTGAAAACTATTAAACCGATTTATCAGCTATTTAGAATATAAATACTATCAGTTAATACGCAACTTTTGATACTAGTTTGGATGTTGTACCTATATTAATATAATTTTCATTGTAATTTTAATTTTTGAGTTGCTCTGCGTATAATATTTCGATGAACTTTTCGAACATATTACAACCTGTTTAAATGAACGGGTAATAAAAGTAAATGTTTGTACATAAGGAGAAAACTATACTCAAAACGTATACAATGTTAATTTTTGGAAATTGAACTGAATTTAAAATTTATTTTAGCTCTTAGAAAAACTTGTCTTGGGGGTGAAAAAGCCAGGGACAAAAATCCATTGAATATTATGTGAAATTCATTTGTTTTCTACTTAAATTAACCTTCTAATTTTACCAAATTTTCGCGTGTTTACTTAATAAAATTAATTAAACACGACGAAAAAATAGTATAAAGTGCGTTAAAAAATAAAAAACGAGAAAACGGTTGCAACAAAATATGGCATCTGTGGTGAAATTTAAGGAAGACTTTAAAAAAAGGTACAAAAACTTGGCAGTGTAAATCGAAAACAGGTAAACTTAACATAATATTCAATTTTCCTTGATGAAAGCTCTTTAAAATTTATTAAAATATTTTAAAAATAAGATTATTTGTCATGTAAATAAAGGAAAACTATAAAATTACAAAAATTAATAACATATTTTGATAAAATCGCAAGGTGGCTTTCTCCCCCCACCAGGTGGTACAAAAAAGCCATTTGCAGAGGTTTCGTAAAACTCTTATAACTTAGTCCTTTCATGGGATAAAAAATATTTCCGTCAAGAATATTCAAGCTTAACAACTAACCTTTCAATGCCAATTGGAAATTTGAGAAAAAAATTTTTAATTCAGATTTTATAAATTAAAATGTAAAAATGTGGCTATTTCACCCCGTTCTACTTTATAGAACATTTAATTAATTACCAGTTAATTAACACTTCACTTAAATTTATTTTCACTATACGGAGCGAAATTGGCAAGAAATTGAATTCACTTGACTAATTTCTATACCAAGAACACCTAGCTCCATCTCTCGAACAAACTTTTCACTTTCCTCAAATATGACAAATGTGGGGCATTTGTCCAGTGGCGCAATTGATCCGTGGCGCATTTGTCCAGTGGCGCATTTGAGAACTTACCACCAAGGTTATAGGGCGGTATTCATAGTCCCGACTTAAGCAAGGACTTAAGCTTTGCTTGATCAAGTCGGTCTTATTCGATTGAGTCGAGCTTAAAGGCGCTTGCACACTTCCAAATTTTTAGGCGAGCAGCGAATTTTCAGGCTGGAGTCCCATGGTAGCGTTTTGCGTTGCGTTTTGTAACTAGACAATGAGTGCAAATAGAGCAAACATATATCTCTATCTCTCTCACACTCATTGCCTAGTTGCAAAACGCTGCCATGGGAATTCAGCCTCACGGCCTTGAAATGCACATTACTAAATATGATTGGCTCTGACAAAGTACATTTTCACGCAGCTTTTTGTAGAGCCAATCATATTTAGTAATATGAGTTTCAAGGCCATGAAAATTCGCTGCTCGCCCAAAATTTTGGAAGTGTGCAAGCGCCTTTAGACCATATGTATTCATAGTCAAAAATAAGCAACTGCTTGGTAAAGGAAATGCACCTTGAGGTTGAGTCCACAATAAAATAAATCGTCTCAATTTCGATGCGCAGTAATCAAAAATGTATGTACGCGCATCGAATCGTCTTGATAGTCGAGACGATTTTTAGCTATTCTGGAATCAGCCTCAGGGTGGAGTCCCATGGCAGCGTTTTGTAACTAGGCAATGAGTGAGAGAGATGGAGATATATGTTTGCTATATTTGCTTTCATGGCCTAGTTACAAAACGCAACGCAAAACGCTGCCATGGGTAGTGTTCTTAAATTCTCGAGAATTTAAGTTGGGGTAATTTCCCTAAGGAAATTACGGTAATTTAATTTTTTTAAGAGAGTATAAGGCTGCGTTTACACCTCTGCAGGCTGCCTGCCTGCGCAGGCAGGAGCAACGAGAGTAAGGGAGAAGTTTGAAGTCACTGACTCTCTTACTCTTGTACGTTACCATGACAACCTGCAGGCAGGCAGGCTGCCTGCAGAGGTGTAACCGCAGCCTAAGAGAATTTAAGAGAATATTGAGAATTTAAGTTTATTTATTTAAATAATGTATATTTATTATTTTTATTAATATAAATACATATATTTCAGCACAATTGCGATGATTACTTTTATCTAAAAGAATTCTTCAACTTATATATGTAAATAAAAAAAAGTAAAACCACAAATTTTTTAAGTTATAAATTTAATGTCATTTGCATTTATAAGGTTTATAAAATATGCGTAACTTAGTACGAATAAAAGTTTAGATACTTTTGAATATAGACATATATAAATAAAGAATAAGTAATATATTTAACATTATATACAATGAATTTAAAATTTTTTAAAATAAATATTTTGAAATTATTTGTGAATAAAGGCTCTCTGTCAGCTCTGCTGCGAGAGTAAGAGAGAAAAACCATTTAATTTGAATTTTCTGAATCTCTTACTCTTATGCGTTACCATGACAACCTGCAGTCAGTAGAGCTGTGCAAGTACCTTTAATATATAGCATTTGTGGCATATTATTATTTAACAAAATTTACAGAAGAATTTAATTTTTTGTATTCATTGCTTTTAAAATATTTCCATTTTACACTCTATGGTTTTGTCATTTTTTAAATCTTTAAATATATAGTCACTTAAATAAACAAAATAACAACTACTAAATAAAAACACAACGTCGGACAATCGAATTTACCACAGAGCAATGACAAAAGTGAGGTTATGTCACATTCTCTTAAATTCTCAGAGAATTTAATCGTCGGTTATATTCTCGGTAATATTCTCGTTCTCGGTAATATTCTCTGGGTAATATAACCGACTTAGAACACTACTAAAATCAACGCAACGCAGTCATTCGCAGACAAACGCAGAGTTTTTGGATCCTATTGGAGAAAGGCCTATAGGATCCAAAAACTCTGCGTGTCTGCGAATGACTGCGTTGCGTTGATTTTAGCATGTGTTGCTATAGCAACCGACGCAGACGCAGAGTTTTTAAAAACTATTGGAGAAAGGCCTTTATACATTTTCGACGTATTATACGTATAAAAGTGTATAAAACTAGGTAAAATTATAGCAGATTGCTAAAACTTTTATTACGATTCACAACCCTGATTTTAGGTGCTTGTGCTTGTGTTGTGGAAAAAAGGAAAATTATTTAATTAATTAAGTGAATTGAAGTTTTAAGTAAGTAAAATTGACCTATAATGTTAAAATTAATCTTATTTACCTGTAGGACATGTTTAAATAGTCGCAGAAGAAGTTTCTTTACGGTGTTTACACAAAATAATGTTAACCATGTGTTTCGGCAACATGCCGATTGTTTTACACTTATTTCAACAATTTTAGAATAATATTCATCCAGTTTTCACATCTATTGTTCATTTAGAAACTTCAGTGATCATTCAAATACAAATTTCTCTCTTTTTTAATGAAAAGAAGACATTCCATGCAGCGATCACTTCAAAATGAATCTTAACCTCGAAAATCACTGTATGCATTTTTTTTTGAAACGGTAGAAATATTATTGTTAAAGCATTGATTTAACGGATTTAACAAATAAAGAAAGATAGATTTATAGATTTTAAAACCTAGGCTTTGTGTTGTGTTGATTAATGCGACGGAATATAAGAATATACCATTTTTTTGACACGTCAATATGTTCTATACAAGTACAATGTCAAAACTCCAAGAAAATTAATTTAATAAAAGTTGAAAATGTGCATTTTATTACAATAAAAATGTAAAAATAAACAAAATAGATTATTGGTGAAATTTTAATACAGAGATTTTTTTTAGATAAAGTTTCAACATGAGTCGTTTTTTTGCAACTGGCACTGACTCCGAGTCCGACAGCTCGTCAGAAGAGGAGCAGATTCAACGCGCACCAGCAGCAGCATTTACTGTAATTTCAATTTTTAATTATATGTATATTATCAGGGTTGTCACAGGTCAGGGAAAAGTCACGGATTTTTATTAAAAGGAGTGGAAAAAATTACATTTTTAGAATTCATAAGAAAATACAATACATTCAATTTTTTCAATTTATGACAATAATTTCTTTTTAAATAAATTAATTCTTGAAGAACTATCCTAAAATTATTACTTATAAATTATTTAATAAATAACTTTACTTACACATTTCATAATTAATTGAATTCTGAAAGAGTTGCGCTTACAATTTTCATAAATAGATCAACTTCAAAAGGTTTCAATGTGAAATTTTGTAAAATTTCAATTTTGAATGAATTTCATTAGAAATTTGAAAAAACTTAGATTTTTGAAAAATTTTAATAATTCAAATTCTTCTGAAATTAGTTAAATTTTTTAATATATATTTAATTAATTATTAAAAACAATGGATTTATAGAAGAATTTTAGTTAAAAACACTAAATTAATGATAAATTGAATAATTGAACTGATAAATGAATTTTGGAGAAGTTACAAATGATTGAAGAAATTCAATTATTTCCAAAGGAATAAAATTTTTCGTCAAAATTCAACTATGTTCAAAAAATTTTTAAAAATTCTTATCAGAATTTTAATTATCTTTATAAATAATAAAATTCTTCACCAAAATGCAATTAATTTCAAAAATTTTAATAAAATTTTTGTCAAAATTTCAATTATTTTCAAAAATTTTCCTTGATTCAGTTATTTTTAATATTTCACAGGAATTCAATTATAAAAAAATTTCTCAGCAATAGTTCCATTATTTTCATAAATAATACATTTTTTTACAGGGATTCAATTCTTCTCATAAATAATATAATTCATCGCAAAATTTTAAGTATTTTGCTTCCTCAAAGAAGAAGTATTGTAACTTTAAAAAATTTTGCAAACTGGCCGGTTTGCCCCACCCCCTGTGGTAAACCGGCCACCCCTATGGGGCAAACCGGCCAGTTAGGTTTTTTATCTATAATATTGCATTTGTATTATCTACAATAACAAGAAATATAAAGAATCATGTGAACAATGGTTGTAATAATGTAAATAATAATACAGGATTGAATTTTAATTAAATAAATAATTTTTTTTAATAACAAAACAAAAAAGTTAGAAATTATTAGGAAATTTATATTAAAGGGTGTAATTCTCATTGGAAGATAATTATTTATCATTGAAAGTAAATATTTTAATGAAAAAAACATTCTAATTAATAATAATTTTCGTGAAACTCTGATGCAATGAAAATATCCTATGGCCGGTTCGCTCATTTCGGAAATATTGACACCTGGCCGGTTTGCCCCACTCTCCCCTATATTTTTTTTGGATTTTTAATTTTTCAAAAAATCGTTTTTTGCCCATAACTTTAAAAAATGTTAGGACACCTATAAATGCTTTTCTCTAATTTTGTAGAAATTTTATAGACACATCTTTTGAGCCCTTATTGAACATTTTTTGTCCATATTAACCGGAGATACATATTAAACTTTTAGAAATCTAAAATTTTAGAAAATAAGACTTTTTTGAAAATTTGGTTGAAAAATGTAAAAGTAATTTTAAAAATATTGTTACCAACTTGTAGAGCATTAAAAACGCTTCAATTGACCTATTTTTGACGAAGTTGAAGTCCACAACGTTGATCAACGAAAACGTATTTTTAATTTATTTGAATATTATGGGTAAGAATTACTGAAGTGGGCCCCTATTTTTCATTGGGTCGATGAATTTTTCTCATTCTTATATGTTTCGATAGCTTATGATGGTATAATAAAAACCTGTAAATAGTTTTCCGAAATTCAAATATTTACCAAAGTTATTCAAGGTCAAAGTTATTTGTAGCGTTTTAGTTTTAATAAAAATTGGTGGAGAGATTACATGAGGAATTGTACTTTAGATAAATGATCAAAATTTTAATTAAAAAATATAATTTGTTTAAATAAATTAACTTTTTAATTTTTGGGGTTAAAAAAAAAATTTGTTCTCCATCTTTTTTTTTATTTTTTTTAATAATCAAATATAGAGAATACTTTTAAGATTTTATTTGAACAATCAAAAAGTGGGATTCTCTATTACTTTAGAACATATAATATTTTTAGTTACAAAATTTTTTGAAAAGTTTAAGAGATTTGAAGCAAAACAAATGAATAAACTAAACTCGACAACTTTAACCAAAAAAATTACATATTAACAATCATACATATATGGGCAAATCTCTGAAAACTTTAACATTTGAATTTGAATTTTTTTAAAAAAATTTTTGTGTGCACAATTTTGATATTTTTGGTATTACATCTTCGACCAAAATAAATTTCATTTTTATTACTGTACAACCATTATTAATTTGGTAGCCTTCTATTTTAAAATATAAATTTTTGGAAAGAAAATAATGTTAGGTTATCTAAATCTGTATAACAAGATATACATAAACATTTTATCTCCTACACTAAAGTAAGTTATTTCTCAGTATCACAACTACATAATTAAACATGAAAATAAATATAATAAACGTCTAATACAACTAATAAGGACAAAATTAAAATAAAAAAAATTAATGAAAATTTTTTACGTATAATTATTTGAATTAGTAACATGAACTTTTCTAATTATTTGATTGGCTGAACTGTTTTGAAAAATATCGAGGATCTTAATATAACCTTCAAAAAACACTAACAGTTTCATGAACGTTTAATAAAAACTGCTGCCAAGTTGTATATTTTTTTTATAATTTTGGTGCTCATTTCATGAACACTTTACTTCCTCATGAAGATAAAAATAATAGAAATATATGAATAACTTTTTATAAATTATGTAAAAGTGATTGAATTTTGAGTCAATTAATGTATTTTTAAATACCCTACAAGATAGTTACAATAACTTAATAGTTAAACAAAAATTTTCAAACAAAAAAGTTGAGAAAATGTCATTTTTAACAATTTTTGGTTTTTAAAATACCAATAATTTAGAAATTTATTATCGAATTAGGTTCAAAAATAGGTCAATCGAAGCGTTTTTTAATGCTCTACAAGTTGATAACGATAATTTTAATGTTACTTCTACGTTTTTCAACAAAATTTTCAAAAAAGTCTTATTTTCCAAAATTTTTGATTTTTAAAAGTTTAATAACTCCGGTTAATATGGACGAAAAATGTTCAATTAGGGCTCAAAAGATGCGTCTAAAAAAACTCTACAAAATTATAGAAAAACATTTATAGGTGTCCTAACATTTTTTTAAAGTTATGCGCTACGGGCAGTTATCCGATCCACGCCCTCAATTTAAAAAAAATTCAACCCAAAAGCTCTTCATGATTTCGAGATATTGATGAAAATGTGATGTTTACATACACACACACACACACACACACGGAATGACATTTTTTAAAAATGTCATTTTTCAACTCCTGAGGTCAAATAACATAAAGATATGTCAAAAAATCGAACTCGAAAAATTTTGGTATTACAATACTTCCTCTATGAGGAAGTAAAATAAATAAATATTACTTAAGTGCCTTCCGTTGATAAATTTTTCATTCCGCGTTTCCTTTTTCTCGCTTTTTATTTTATTTTCTTTGATTTTCTTTCATTTTGTCACTTTTTGTTACATTTTTGGTTACTTCGTGATAAATAACATGGAACAAATAAATGCGAAACTTCAGATTGATTGGAAAACGATTGATTTGACCAAGCAACATATTTGACGAGGGACAATTTGAATATCCATGTAAAAAATAATTAAATAAGAATTAGAATAAATAAAAACATATGCACAGTTTTAAATTCATCTAAAGTAATATGTGCCCCAATTTTTGAGCAAATTAAATAAGAAACTTTGGAGAAATTAATGATTTGACCAGCGACATACTTTCCGTACTATACCAGTATCACAAGTATCCAACAATTATTTTGCTTAAAATATAGTTGAAAATAAAAATCACGCACATAAAATTTGAATGACAATAATTGTGCCTCTTATTTCAAATTTTTTCATTTAGTTTTTTAATGTTTATTTTATAAAACAATTTTTAGAAGATTATATGAGCGAATGGGAAGAAGAACTCGCCGAGCGCGCGGTTGTAAGGGATAATATTAGTCAGGTAGCAGTGAGCGCCTCTGGGCCACACACTGCTACCTGACTGGAACTATCCCTTTCGGTCGAGCGCTCGGCGAGTTCTTCTTCCCATCCGCTCATATCTTTTATAATTTTTACTTTTTATTTTTTTTAAGTTTGTTTATGGAATTCTTAAGATATTTTTAAATAGTTTATAAAAGTAAAAAACGTGTATTCCAAAAAAATCTTATTTAAACAGTTAAAATACTTTTAGAAAAAGTAAAAGTGACACTTGCAAAATTTACGATTTGTAGAGGGCCCCAAACATTGCGATCTCAAATTTGTAAGAGTTTGCGGTGCCCCGCACAGAGCCTCTCCTGACTGTCTAAAATCAAAAAAACAAAATTTATTCTTTAGTATACATTAATACCTAGTGGACTAACCTGATGAAATTAAAAAAAAGTAAAAAAAAAGAAAATGCGGTACTTTTAAAGTCAATTTTTAAGAAATGATGATTTTGATCTTTTGAATTTTTGACTTTAAAAGTACCGCATTTTCGTTTTTTTTACTTTTTTTTAATTTCATCAGGTTAGTCCACTAGGTATTAATGTATACTAAAGAATAAATTTTGTTTTTTTGATTTTAGACAGTCAGGAGAGGCTCTATGCGGGGCACCGCAAACTCTTACAAATTTGAGATCGACAATTTTTGGGGCACTCTACGAATCGTAAATAACGGTTAAAAAACGAAACAATTTTTTCTTTTTTTAGTTTTTATAATGTACTTTAAGGTGCAAAAATCGTTTTTAATATTTTAAATAAAATGACTGTGAAAAAAAAATATTTATGTGGGACCCATTTTTTGCATTCGCAAACGCAAGTACGCCTTAAAAGCATGTAAATATTTAAAAATC